ACTCGGTGACTTGGCCTAGTGAATAGAAGATGAGATGAGGCAGAAGCCTTCTGTAAACCGGACAAAGTCGCTGCAGAGGAGGTCTGCTTTCTCCCGTAGAGCATGCGATTATCCATGGTAGAGCTTCTCTAGTCAGTGGGAAGAATGGCATACGCTAACTGAGCCTGGTCTGAGCGGAAGGAGGACAGCTGCATGGCAAAAATAATTCCACAATGTGTCAACAAGCCCTTACAGCCATCTGAATTGCCTGAGCAAGGGAGAGGAGGATGCATGGATGCATCTGAGTTTCTGCATGGTGGTCTGGCACAGGATCAGGAACAGGCAGAGACATGGGAGCTGAACAGGAAAGAAAGCAGGTGTAGCAGGAGCTGTGACAGTGGCTATATCCTGGCACTGAGATCCTGTATGGCACCACTCAGCTCTGCTGTACTCACCTCCTAAACTTCTTGGGCTGCCTCATGGCCAGCCAAGACCTGGGAAACTTCACCAAGCTACGAGCTCGACAACCAAGGACTGCGAGCCACCACCAGCCCAGGTCTGATAAACATATTTCAGGTTTTTCCTCTTTCATTTTTGCTGACTTTTACTCTAATCCCATCCTTAGAAGTCATTTAGATTTTGAATAAAATATTATTTTAAAATTTCATATTTTCCATATAAAAAAATTAGAACCCATAGGAAGTGTCTGGATACTCAACAGTAATTGTTTCTGTAGTCTAACTGAGCAAATTGTCGATCAGGCCTGGAGACTATTTAAAGACAAATTGTAACTTTCTTTTTAGAGCTGCATGAAAATATAATATCAGCTACAGAGAATCATACAGCTAAGTCTAACATTCTTGGAATCCACTTTAATTCCAACCTTTCCAGACTACAAGCCAACTCAATGTCATTTCAGTTTGAATTCAATGGAATTAAAGAAGACTAATGTTCAGTCCAGGGATAGGATGTTCAGATTTGCCTACTGTCTGGTGTATCATCAAGTTCAAATCAGGAGAAATTACAAATGGAAGGATGAAATGAAAGAACAATACACTTTTCTACTCATACAGAAATCTCAATGGAGTGCATTCCAGTTCTTTATTCAATTAAAACAACACATACTGTAACACTTGGTTTATTGACTTTTAAGACCCCACACTATTTAGCCCTTGGTATCCCTTGTTTCAGGACCTAATGCACTTAATTTCTATGTATGTCTACTGGTCCTGGTTTTTGTGTTGAGTGTATATCATTGCCAGTCCCTTCCAGAATTTTTTTCCAGAATTCCTCATCTGGAGGATGGTTGTAAGTCGAATTCTGCGAGTAGAGAAACTTTGTTGAAATATCAGACTGAAATGATTCATAGCCTCTCTTATTTTTTTATATAACAGTTATGAATGTGACATTCAATTTAAAAGCAAGACTAGAATTGGAGACTCTAACTGGAGACTCTAATTTCCACACTAATCTTTTTATGAAGACTACATTGTCATGAAGAGAATCCCGAAAATACATTTTCACTATAATGAGTTTGCTTCTTACCATACTACTGTTTACTGAAGAATAATAATGCAGCAGATTTAAGAAATGCTCAATTGATTAAACAAAAAAGAAATACAAAAATAATCAATTTTCAGGTATTATTAGCTGCTAGCATTTATCTAGCTGTCAGCGGTTGTTAGATATTTTAAAATTGCTATAAATCCTAAAAAGAATCAGACGTAAGAAATTGTATTGTCATATACATCTCCAAAAATCATTTTCTTCACTTCAGCTAATTTTCTAACACAGGTAGAATGAAAAGAAAAATATGCAGAATTTCACATTAAAATATGGCTATTTTCAAAACACTACTTTTCTGTTGATCAGTGGACTTAATATGAACAGCCTAGAAAAAATATTCATTACAAATCAGCCTCATCAGTAAAAAAAGAACACTATTCTTTATGAATTTTTAAAACAAGAATAGTTAAACTTTTATATCTGGCAATACTGTTCCCAAAACTTTTGCACAAAAACAAAATAACATAAGGAAATTAAACCAAAAAACGTGTTTATTCATTAATGATTCTGGCATCTTTATGACATGGGAGACACATCATTGCCATGTTGAAACTGTGGTATCCTCATATGACATCATGTGTAAATTCAATGTCATTTAGAGCAAAACAAAGACAGTTCATGAACACTATAAAGTTTAAAAATATATAGTGTGGTGCTTTTTTACTAAAAATAAGATCACCTAGCAAAGAAACGTCGAGATATATATAATATTGAGAGCATCCATATATTTTCTGTTGTGTATGTCTGCTAAGCAAATAATAAAAATGTGGAACTCTCTTTTACATGACAACAAAAGAAAAAACAATCTCCTTGTCCCAAAATATGAAAAAAAATACATACATGCACCTCACAAAATAGCAACCTGTGTGGGTTTAAAACAACATTTTAGGATGTTGCAAAATTTCACTGGAGCAAAAATTAAAATACAAATAACTCCAAATCTTTGTTATCAGTGGAAAAGACAATTCATTCAAAATAAACCTGAGTTTAATTTGGCACATGTATCTGCCACAAACTGAAATATATATACAGTATATAAAAAATATAGTAAAAATGCAGAATAAACAAATACAGCAAGTCTTACATTAAAAATGATAGAACTGTTTCATTTGCATTAAGACAGATGCTGTTCCAAATAATATCACATATTTATCAACAGAACAATAAAGGGAAAAGTACATACAAGACTAAGAAGGTGTAAAACGTTCTAGTTTAACACACTGTTTGGTATGTCTCTACATTTTGATAAATATTTTCTTTTTCAAGTATATATTTTACATCCTTTCCAAGTTCTGAACATCACCTCTCCCGGAATTTTACCAGCATCTATTGCTCAATGGTCTGTAATCCTTAATGAACAAAAAACTCTGCATCCCAATAGTTTTAGACATGCAGACAAAAAATACTGGTTATTTAGCAGAAACGTCTGACATATCAATCTTTTTTTTTTCTGTCTGGATTATAGGGAATTATACAGAAGGTGCCAGTGTCCAATAACATGCCTTACACAGTAACTGAAGCTGTTTTAGTGAGGATGTCAGAACTCTTTATTGGCCATTTGATCCAATACATACTGTACATTGCACTGCTCCAATGTCCTAATTGTGAGTCTGTACAACAAAAGGTCTGCAATATATTATAAGCTCCTCTTGCTCTATGTACATACATACTAGGTAAGTGAGTGACTAGCTATGTTTGTTAATTATTTTTCTATGCTCAATGAGGGGATCTTACTATCTTATTACTATACCTTGAACTGAAAAATTAATGCCATTACACCAGGATATTCAAAATCTGTGGAAGTACATTTTTAATGGTCCTTTATTAGTCCTTCACTAATTCCTCAGGTCTTTCCAAAGTGATTTATTTGCAGAATTCCACTTGATTGTTATTGAGTAACTTACATTCAGAATTTAAAAGAAAGCTAATACCAAATAGCACAACAGCGATTAACCTAATATACTGACGGAAAAAGAAACACAACCTTTTTTGGAATGAGAATACTATAGTTATAGCTTATGTACTTACACAAAAAGTTGTCAATTTGTTTTAAGCCCTCTGACCAGCAATACAGTTTGTGCAGTGAGGCATTGCAACTTGCCAATCACACTAAAGCTCATTAGGTTTACCCGATGGTCCAGGTGGAACAATATCTGATCAGGTTACCTTTAAAAAGGCCTTAATTTAAAGCTTAGGTCACTGCAAGAAAAAAGCCACACTTAATCAGTTTTCTGTGCATTCCATAATACCATTAATGTCACCAGAAGCAAGGGAGAGGGCCATTGGCATGCTGCAAGCAGGCATGTCATGTGCCAGCGTTCCCAGACACTATGGAGTAAGCCGCTCCACTGTATCCTGACTGCAGAGAAGGTTTCAGCAGAATGGCAGGACAGATGACCGTCCGAGATCTGGTCACCCTCAAGTGACCACAACAGAGCAGGACCGACACATCAGACTGGTCCATATGAGAGATCGTTTCAGATCTGCCACCTGTACTGCTGCTGGAACTGCCAGCAGACACAATGCCCGCATCAGTGACAGGACAGTGAGGCTCCATGCTGCTGGCCTTAGAGCAAGGCGACCTGACAGAGGCCCTCTGCTCACACCTCCTAGACGTCACACCCAACTGGCTTGGGCCAGACAGAAGCTGTGATGAACTCGTCAGAAGTGGCATCAGGTCCTCTTCACGGATGACTCACTCTTCAGCCTGTTCCATGCAGATGGGAGGGACAGTGTGGAGGAGGAGGTGTTGTGTTTCTTTTTTCCATCAATATACAGTATATTGAGAGCTCTAAAATTCAAGTAAATTCCTTCATTACGTAACTCCATTGTACATTCCTGCATGCCTACAGCAGGAAGAAGCACACAGTTGTCAAAATCTCACAAACTTTGTGTTGTACACACAGGAAATACTGAGAAAATGTCAGACTATTTTCAGTTAAGCACAGATCTGATTTATGTTACTAGTATTTAATTCAGTGATATTCATGGGGTTAAAACACATACTTCTCTAAACAGAATTACCTGTAATTAATCTTGTTACTTAAAAGGCCATAAGGCAAAAATTGAAAAGTAAAATTTGGTCCCAGTTACATATGCTTTCTTCATAAACTTTAGCTTTATATTTAAAATACTTATCACACGTCTATCAAGTATCAGAAAACTAGTTTGGGATCATACAGTGTGCGCAGGGTTAAATGGAATGCCGTTGTATCTCATCTCAATTAAAAGTTATTTTTGTTACTACGAAGGGCTTTTTATATAGTTTTCTACTTAAGAGGAATAAAGATAGTACAGTGTGAGGGTAGCTCACACAACTAATGGGTCACAAGTTCAATCCCAGTCTGTTGCCATAGTGATGTTTTGTTCCCTGCTGTCAGTCTTGTAGCAACAATACAAACAAGCACTATACATTTGATTACCTTATATACTTACATAACATCCGATTTAAAAGATTAACACTAGAAATCATTTTTATTAAATGAAAATTAAAAAATGAGATTATTCACAGGAAATTATTTTACGAATTACCCTCCACTACAAAAAAGTCATGAATTTGTAAAACATTCCATAACTCGGAGAGAAGCCCTGGACAAACGTGACAGATGAAACAGTTTGAAAGCAAAAGTCATTTTCATGAAGGCTGCGGTCATATTTGCATTGTTCTTTCAGTTAATGCTGCCAAGAGGCTTCAGGAGAAGGCATCTGCGAATGGGACATACTATAGCATTTAAGTACAAAAAATGAAAAAAATCACAAATATAGCTGTTGCTCTAAGGATCTTAAAAATAGCTTTTTAATTTTGTATTTCTGTGGATCTGTGCTCTTTTGCTGAAGCATAAAAAGCACATTCTTCTGCATACCTCAATTTAAAGCTGTAGGACTGGCACGGTGTCTCTAAAACTCCTCAATAGCAGCTATCCTCTTCAGTGCATACATTCATGTCATTGACTTAAGTACATAAATAAAAATGAAAAAATATCATGTTTCTGAGTTTTCCACCATTCAGTTAAAAAAGAGCAGAACCAATTTATATAAATTCAGGTACTATCTTCTGAGTCATGTTGCTCCTGAAGTCTTCTGAAACTCCAATCACTTGAGGTTGGCTCTGTATTGATTTCTGCATAGTCTAGCTTTCCATTTCCTTCATTCAGAGGAAGATATGAGAATTTATTGAACCCACTAGGAGGTGATTTCCCACAAATCTGAGTCAGGTTACCAACTGTGCTAATTAGGAGCAGCAGGCCCAGGATGGTTGTGATCATAATCCAGGTCATCCTAGAAAATAAAAAGAAACGGACTACTGTTTAGTTATGTATGCTCATCTCTGCATGTTCTATTCACATTAAGTGCTTTCAGATAGGAGCACAAAATGTCCCAAAAAGCCCAAGCATCGAAAGAAACTGTAGTACCACAACAGATCCTCTCTTTTGCGTTTGAAAGGTGCAGTGAATGGTTAAAATTTCCATTGTTTTTGTAGATGAGATATACAGAACCTTTCATTAACAGTACATTAAATAAATATTTTCTGTTTCTCACTGTGTTCTTTAATGCAAAATAAATAAAACAATATGCAAAAAAATCTGCTTTTTACTAGTACATTTTGCTTTTGGGTATATATATATATTTAATGCTAAAGTTCAAGCAACTGTCAAGCTTGGTTTAGATAATGAACCATGTAATGTGAGACGAAAGCACACACCATATCAAACCAGATAAGATTGGGACCAGTATGACTTCAAGTAGAATATCATAGATATTTTTATTATAAGCGCTTTGAGAAGCCACCTTTAAAGGTGCTATATAAAATAATAAGTAATAGGTTTATTCCATGCTGAAAAAAAGAAGAAAGAGAACACAACGTTTCGGCCGTGGAGCCTTCTTCAGGTGTGAGAGAGACAGGGCAGTAGGCAAAGGTAAAGTAGCGGGAGAACAAAGGTTGAGAGGGAGGAGGAGTGAGAGGCGGGAGCAGGGGACAGAAAGAGAGGCCAATCAAGAGGCGTGAAGTCAGAATGGGTGCAGAGAATTGTGAAATGAAACTTCCAATGAATGGAGAAAATTTAAAAGAACAGTAATCTGTCGTTAAGGGAAGGGAGAATGTGTGATCCTAGCTGCAGAATAATTTTAGTTTCGGTGGTCTTTCTGATGTATGAGTTCGGAAAACCGTCTTTGAGAACACAGACGGAGAGATTAGAGTGGTCGTGGCCGTCAGAGGTGAAATGAGAAACAATGGGCTTGGAGAGATCTTTAATCTTCACAGCCCTTTCATTTCACACCTCTCTGCACCCATTCTGACTTCACACCTCTTGATTGGCCTCTCTTTCTGTCCCCTGCTCCCGCCTCTCACTCCTCCTCCCTCTCAACCTTTGTTCTCCCGCTACTTTACCTTTGCCTACTGCCCTGTCTCTCTCACACCTGAAGAAGGCTCCACGGCCGAAACGTTGTGTTCTCTTTCTTCTTTTTTTCAGCATGGAATAAACCTATTACTTGTTCCTTTGCAGCCTACGCATGCTGACGCAGCTACCCACCTGAACTATGTAAAATAATGTTTATTATTATTAAAGAACACCTGCATTTCTAGGATGCAGATGCAGATGGCCTTGAGACTTACTGTGATAAGTACTCCTGTGGCTTCTGTGCAGTAAAATCATCTCTCCATGACTCGAACATATGGGAAGCTAGGCAGTGACCCGCTGTGAATAAAATTCATATTGTGAGAGACTGATTTAGAGATGCACCAGTCTTTGGACTCATCGCTCATATCTTCATTTTGAAGCACTAACCTGATTAGACACTAGTCTGTTGTAGGGTTACTTCCAGTGAACAGGTACCCATTTGTACAGTTGAGTGAAATAATAAACACACAGGGAGAAGTATCAGTGCCCACATCCTTAAAATTAAAAGTCCAGAGTCCTAATATGTGAGTCAGAGATGTTACCTTGCTTGTTTTTTCATGGATTAAGTTAGTTAACTTTAAACAATAGCATGGCCCTTTACAGGTTGGGTGAACTGCTTTAGTATCATCTTAGGAACTCAGACCAAGCCTGAATCAAAACATCAACCTGCTTATCTGTAAACCCTGTACTGATATTTTGTTTTGCAAGAGGCCTCTTCTTTCAAAAGTAAACATTTTTTTCAGTATGAGGAGTACAATAACTAGTAATTTAGACTGTTGTTTAGTTACTAATGCTGTTGTGAATAAAATAAATTATTTGCAGACCAAATGTCTTCTTAAATTGTCATTAGTACTTAACACTTAACTGAGAAATACAATACTGAACACTTATCTAAGACTGAATGTTATGCTTTCCTATGTAAATATTCAAAGTATACTGAGATGTAGAGTGGAGCACAATCATCTTATGAATATAATATGATTATCAATGTGGATTTTAAATGTTTTAAATCCATATTATATAAACGTTTTAAATCTATAAATATTTTTGTCGGCTGGGTAGAACGCTTCTACGCTTCCTACACTGGCTATGTCCCTGATCTCTAAAAGCGATACATTGATGACTGCGTCGGTGCTGCCACATGCTCCAACGACCAGCTTGAGTACTTTCTGCATCACTTCACCAACTTCCACCCGTCCCTCAAATATATAGTTAACATATCTTCCACTAGTCTTCCATTTCTAGACATCAACGTCTCCATTAACTGCCCCCAACTCTCTACTTCGGTCTATTAAAAACCCACGGATTCACAGCTATCTCCTGTATAGCTAATTTCACCCCAAACACACTAAAAACTCTCTCCCTTTTTCACAGTTCCTTCGGCTATGACGATTATACAGCTACGACATCGATTTCCAGAACGAAGCCCTCAAAATGTACTCTTTTTTCATCAACAGAGGATACCCTAGCAGTGTTGTGACAACTGCATTCCTTTGGTGCTTCCCTACCACCCCAACACACTTCCTATCCCCAGGACTATTTACGACAACTTTTCCATCCTACAGGATGATACCTCCATTGGGGCCCTCTTTTCTGACTGCCTCATCATCTCATCTATCGCCGACCACCTAATCTGTGTAACCTTCTTGTTCACAGCTCCCTTGACCGCCCTCAGCAACCATCCACACCAGGTACTTTCCCTTGCAACAGAGCTCGCTGCATCACCTGCAAGTACATATCTAACACCACACTCATTCAAGGCCCCTCAGGACAATTCTGGATCACTCAGATGTCATCTTGTACCTCCAGCAACCTTATTCTCTTGCAGTAAATGCCCAGCCATCTACATTGGAGAAACAGGAAGGAGACTCGGAGACCGCTTCAGAGAACATGTTAGGGCTGTGAAGATTAAAGATCTCTCCAAGCCCTCATTGTATCTCATTTCACCTCTGATGACCATGATCACACTAATCTCTCCGTCTGTGTTCTCAAAGATGGTTTTCCTAACTTATACATCAGAAAGACTACAGAAACTAAAATTATCCTACAGCTAGAATCACATCTTCCCCCTTCTCTCAACGACAGACTAATTTTCTTCTAAATCTATCTTCACCTATCCTGACTTCACACTTCCTGATTGGCCACTCTTTCTGTCCCCTGCTCCTGGCTCTCGCTCCTCCTCTCTCCCAGCTTTTGTTCTCCTATGCTACATTACCTTTGCTTACTGCCCTGTCTTTCTCACACCTGAAGAAGACTCCACGGCAGAAACGTTGCATTTTCTTTCTTCTCTTTTCAGCATGGAATAAACCTATTACTTGTTACTCTGAAACTATGTTCCACACAGGGTTCATACACGTTGGGAGTTGAATTTGCCATTACAGCATCCACCATAAAAAGACCACAAAAAATTAAATGTGGATTTGCAAAGACCATTATTTCTTTAGTACAGAAAAACTAAAGAACCAAGACAACCTCTGTCAGAATAACAGAATCAGAACAACTCACAATAAGTTGCCTCGTGCAAATTCAAGCATGAAAAAACACAGCAATAAGTTACATATAAAAGACAGCCTAATGGCAACTGTTGATTTAATTTACAAAATGAGAAAGTATATAACTCTCACACACTGCAAGTAAAAAAACAGGGACACTGCTCACTTAAACTCTCAGAATAAAGTGCCTTGAAATTAAAAAGGAGGCAGAGACTCAAAAAATATCACTTAGGCTCTCCCAGGCCAAGTTTTTATGCCTTTCTTATTCAACCATTTTCTACATACAGTTTCACTTGTTTCACTTATAAGTTTCACTTATTGGAAATTCTTTGTGTTTAGGTTATCAGATGTATCTATCACTATACATTATATACAGTTTCTTGACATTAGCTTAAGGAATGGTTATTGAGGGGCTTAAGTTTATATTGTCAGCTAATTAACAAAGATAGCATTGCCATCTTAATTTGCCATCTTATTCACTTATTCATCAGATGTATACTGTATGTGGTGTTATCTACGTGGAATTTGTATATTCTCCTTATGTTTGCATGGGTTTCCTCCAGGTGCTCTGTTTTCCTCCCACAGTCCAGAGACATACAGTACTGATAGGTTAACTAGCATCTAGGAAAAAAGCTCTGGTGTGAGTGTGTGTTTTTGTGTCTGTGTCTACTCTGCATTGGCCTGCCAAATCATTTTTTGGCCATGTAAAGTTATGAAAACATATTGGGAAAGATTCTGAAAAATATCAAGGAATGTCCTTAGGATTTGGCCTCTGGGAAACTGGTTAAAGCCAGACAGACCTAGTGTTAAATTTGGAAGGTCTCTATGAATTATCTCATGGGGACAATTACCCACAGAATTAGAACTCAATGACATACATTTGTACAAAGATGGTCAAAATGGGAAAGATAATCTCTCTCAGCAATGTGATAGTAACAAAGATGCAGTAAAGAGCAAAGAACAGTTGGAATTTTACCTGGTTTTGATTTTCTATATGCCCCTTTCACTCTGTTTTGTGTTCCTGTTTATTTATGTATGTGAACAAGGAAAACCCCAACATAACTACAATAAAATATAAATAATAATGTATAAAAAAGAACTTTCAAGGGGTCCCTCAACCCCTGGTTGCAAAACTTGAAAAAATAACTATGTATTTTAACATAAAAGCTTGACTATTTTGACATTTGAAGTCAACCACAGAATAGTTGTTTAAGAGTTTTTTGTTTATTATTTAAACTAAATACAAAATCAATTTGAATTATATAGAGACGTTCCCTGTAAATTCCCCATGAAACTAGCAGTAATTGGAATAAACTGTCATTTTCAGAAGACTATCACATCAAAATTGAATCCGACCACTGCAGATACAAATCCCTTGTTATACAGTATGAGTTTTCATTTATACATGATGTAGTAATTCATACCTGTTATCTTATTTAATGAGTGGATTTTCACTATTACAAGATGGGCACTTCTGAGATTATTCTTGAGATACAATATTTACTTTTCATTACATTTGAACTTTTTTTTATAATAATGGCTTGTGCATGTTAAGTGCATGCAGGACAGTATAGTACCTAATGTTTAAGCATTTGTTAACAATGGTAACAATCTAACTACTGTACTGTACATGAGCAGGAATGTTACTGTTTTCCTACTTATGGTTTATGCATCAACTTAAAAATGTTACTCCAATAATCAACCAGGAATGTTAATGTATCCATTCTTAACTACTGTCCCATGCTTTATTAAGGAAAGGATTTGGTGTATGAGGGAACATTTTAAAGTTTTTGAACCAACTGGAGATTATATCACAGGAAATAACAGGAATTTAATTTCCGTTATATTACTTTCCTTACAAGCAGTTTTCAAGAACCTAAGAAATTAAGGTCATATAACGAGGGAGTGTTGTACTGACAAATGAGACTTTGGAGCTGGTCTTTACTGAATATTAGATAACAGATAATTCCAAAAGCAGGAAACTAGGAAAATACAAAATCTGATAATTTACTTATTCCATTATTTTTTTGCATGTGAATGTAATAAGAAATTTTTATACACATTGGAAACACATTGAGGGAAAACCCTGAATTGGGGAAAGAAATAAAAGTCTGAAGTTTCAAATAAGTGTAAACTGCCTTCTGGAACTGAATGTGGCATTCTAGGGAAAGTATACAAATTGAACTAAGGGTTCAGTTGTACTGCATAAAATAATCAGAGATAAGTCACAACATGCTACCTCTGTGCAGAGTGTAGTTCTGCTCTCCTTGGTAAGTCACATTGCAGCTGCCGGTCACTGTATCACATGGACACATGTTCTTACATTGGCATTCTTCTTTGCAACCCAGCCCATAGAAACCTAGAGGGCAATCTGTAAAACACATTATGCAACAGTCCAGTAAAAGCCACTTTAGTACAGTAAACTAAATACAGCAGCCCTTTACAAAACATTTAATGCAGACAAACCTACATTGGATTCATTGATATTTCTCAGTAAAACAAAGCAACTTTATCTTTCACCAAAAAATTCAAAGACAAAAAGAAAATGAGTCAATGTTTCATCCCTTTTCCCCCACTACACATTTAAAAAAAAGTTTCCTCATGAAGCAAGTCTTCTATTGGTCAGTGGGATCCAGAAAGCTGTTCAAAGAAATGATATTAGCTGCAAGTTATCTTGACATGCTGAAAGAAGCATCTCATCTGTGGAAGCTGCTCATCCCTCAAATGCTTCTAGAGCAGTGATTTCTCTATTTTATCATGGTGACAATATTCTACACGAAGTCTTACTAGTGCATTGTACAATATAGTTTGAACATTCTCTCCATATCTGCACTCTTTTCTCTCAAAAATACATTTGTACTTAGTACTGTACCTTCAATTTGAGAATTTATCTTTTCTGAAAATCTGTATCCTTTAAGCCATTTGAAAATCTAAATATACTTATTAGATGCTACACTTGAATCCATTACTGCTGTTACTTGTTCAAATAATTCTAACAAGCTAGTGAAGCTGACCTACAGTACCTTTTCATAGCCAATGTTGAGTATCTCCAATTGTACTACATACAAATGCAGTAAGTATAGTTCTAAGGGTCGTTTCCATTACCTTAATTGCAACAGATGCTAGACTTAGTGAATTATAATTATAAGTTTCACATTTTTAAATGATGAGCATCACATTATCAATTTTCTAGGCAGTGGGTAATATTCGTCTTGCTCAACTGTTGGAAAATTATGTTAATGGGACTATGAACAGAATGTCATCTACAATTGGTAGAATATGATCAGATCATTTTGATTTATGATCTCAAATGCTTTAAAATTATTCCGTGTGTTCTTTACTAATACTTTTTAATAATTAACTTTTCCTAGCTTATGTTGCACATTTCTTCCTTTGTTGAACACGTGACTGAAATAATTTAATACATCAAATGCTTCCTTTTTATTTTCCACATTCATATCTCTGTGGCATTTTATATTTGCAATCTTTGTTGCAAATGTAATTATTTTAGAAGGAATATTTTAAGAATCAAAAGTTCCTCTAATATGCTGAGGAAAGAGGTCACTGTAGATGTACTGAAAGGGGTCACATTATATTGAATACAAAGATGAGAGAGCTGGATTAAATTAATTTCCCAAAGAATACCCATGTACCATCATTCATGATATTTTAGTGATCTTTGTGCCCTAGCTGTGTCTGCATGTGAGGAAGGAGGAAGGAGAAACAGGACAGCAGAATTGCAGGCTCAACATGGTTTTATTGTCCATTAATGGTTAATAAGTATCAGAAGAGGGATAGAGCGCAAAACAGAATGTACTGTAGTAGCACGTAGTAGTCCACATGGTAAAGAAAGAAAGGGAACTTCTTATTTGGGGGAAGAAAGTTATAGTTTTATGAGTTTTATGAGTTGATTTATCGATGAAGTAAACTTACCTAGAAAATTTTATTAAGTTACCCACAGGAGGAGGGCCGGCCCAAGGATTTTGGAAGTCCTAGGCAACATCTTGGAAAGGTGCCCCTCCAGATCACAATTTGCACATACAGTACACTACTATGATCAGATCCCACCCCAAACCTATTTGACTATTTTGAACAATCAATTAAATTAATTATATAACTAGGAAACCTTGATTAACCAGCTTTGAAGAATCCTAAATTACTTATAAACAAGAAGCACACATTTTACACAGATAAGTCATTTAACATTGAAAGTAATAATGTGAAACTGTTAACGTCTGGTAAAACACCTCAAATAGTCTACATGTCAAGCTAGAACATGTGGCTTGTCTACCATTTCCTAGTTACATGGATCTGAAAGACTCAAACCAAATGAAATGCAAATACATTATTATAGTGATTATTATTACCTATACTATTAGAACTAACAAAGTTAAACTGTTTAGATTTACACAACAGCAACAGAAAGAGCCACTGGAGGGAATTTGTTACTCACATTTGAATTTGCTGACCATGTGTCCTAAGACTTTCAGACTAGTAATGCAGTTTGCCTGTCATCCATGATCACCATAGACATAGAATAGGCCACCCGGCTACCTTTGTTACTGCCTGGTGTCTACATAGTCTGTATAGTTGTGCTGGCCTTATATTTAATTTGGATAGCATTTACATGACTGTTACTGTATAATCAATATACAGTACATATTGTACTGGAAGTCACCCAAAGGTGCTAACTAAGAGTGTTTAAAAAGATTCCAGAAAAATGTGGCAATGGAGATATTATTTAGATATTTTGTTCTCCAAGCCTTTCATCTCTGCAGAAACATTCTTGAATTACTTTCCAGAATTTCTTTGGGGTCAAGGGAATATTGTCTTCTATTACATACAGTAGTAACAAAAACTAATTATTATTAATCTATATTTGTTGTTCAAATTTTTTTTATTGTTAAGAGACTTCATCAGATATATATTTTTCTAAATAGTTACTATATATCAAATAGAAAAATGAAACATTATTTTTCAACTTGAAAAAGGGAGGTGGTCTATACATTATGACAGACGCAAAATTAATAGCTTTTCCAATTGAATAAAACACACAAAGTTACACTGGCTACACCTGAGTGCGTCCTCTTGTGCATACATACCTTGCTCGCAGCAATCTCCATGAAAACCAGCACGACAGATACAGGAGCCACTGACAGGATCACAGGAAGCCCCATTCTGACAAGAGCATGTTTGATTACAGCCGTCTCCATAAAAGCCAGCAGGGCAAACTGTGAATGCAGAGACATTTGAACCACTAATGTGTGGGAATAATCTTTTGCTTAATACTGAATTAAGGACAGAAGTGTCTGGAATCCTATGGTGTTCTTCAACATAATTAAAATCCGAATAAAGGTCTAGTCAAGAGACAGTGGCTACAGAAAACAAATGAGAGGCCATATTACAAAAAATACAGGAAAGAGTTGGATACAGTATACACTTCTGCAAACATACTCTGTAATGTATGCAAAGTCAAAATTTCTCAGATGATCTTACATGAATTTCACATAATACAGTACAATAGCATTAGAAGACTGCAATACTGAATTCATTTATAAGGATCAATTACCTTGGCTACAGTTACTCCCAAGCCATCCAGCATCACAGACACATCCATCTGCATGAAACACATAACAGAAAAGCAGAGAAAGGAAATGCCATCAAAAGACCACAAATTCACATATCATTTATCATATTTTTTCAGCAGTGAAAAAGACAATGCATCTCAGATACCAAAGAACTCAATAAATGCTGTCTGATGCTCTAATTATAAATAGGAGACAAATTAGCTCTGCAATGAAAATTAAATTAGCTCTGCATAGAAAATTAAAAACAATAGTCTTATTTTGGCTTGCATGTAGCCATGAGATTTCCTATACAGATCCAGCTGTTCAGAATGCACAATGAATAATGCATCATAGTACATCATACCATGTTGCCTTATGTTTTTTTTTAAATGAAGCATGACTGCATTACTTTGTAACCACCAGGTGGCGCAATGAATGCTTAACATGGCATGAATCCCAATCAATGCTCAGCTCTATAGGGACAATATTTTTCCAATCATAGAATTTAATTTGTATACTTTTTCAACTTTTATTAATTTTATGCTGTAAATAATATATTTAATAATAATATAAATGAATAAATATAACAAATATTACATTCATATTAAAATGAAAGTAGGACTGTTTTCAAAGCAAAATTACTCATCTGGGCACATAAAAAATAGTTTATTATAATAGGTTTTGTTGCTGTTGAGTGCCATTGAGTCGGTCTTGACTCATGGAGACCCCTGTCACTATCCATAGAGTTTTCATGGCAAGATATGAAAGTAGATTGTCAGGCCCATTTGTTTTGATTAGACTATGAATGAGTCCCTAAAGATACCGTCAAAGGTTTTTTTAAAAAAAAATCTTTGTTGAGCTTACACAAGAGAAAGGTCTTCATTTAGAGAAGTTCTATACTGCTTGCAATGTAGCTAGTTTTGACAAACAAAACAACCTAATTTTGCTTGAAGAATTTTAAAACTGTCCTCCTGACTGTATAATAACTTATTTGAAAGTACAGGAAAGTGACCTTGCTCTCACAAGCAGATCAAAATATGTTTACTATTTCTGTTTGACCCTCGTCTCAGGGGAATGATAAAAACTCTGACATCTACTGTGACATCCAATCTAAACTCAAGGTCTGGTTGTTTGATGGTCTCGTTATGTGGAATATTTTACAAAAAAAGTTCCCCTTGTCATAGTATATAGTCTAACAATGTGACTTAACAATATTGAAGACAAATTATACCATGAATAAATCAAATGTGTACTGATTTATTATAAAACCATTAGCACTGATTTTTTCAATGTGAAAACGCTAAGACTTAACCTGTGAGTAGCTGCGTGTACCCAACCAACAACACGTACAGTATGACTCACAATATTAGGCAATAAACATTGAACACAAGGAATTGAACTCGTGGCCAGCTCCGCAAAGTTTCCCCACTGCACATTACGTTTTTTCCCACACTTCAAACAGCACAAACAACACCCACTACATTTCAGATATAGAAATGATATAGATATATCCATGTGGGTAGCTGCGTCAGCATGCGTAGGCTGCAAAGGAACAAGTAATAGGTTTATTCCATGCTGAAAAAAAGAAGAAAGAGAACACAACGTTTCGGCCGTGGAGCCTTCTTCAGGTGTGAGAGCACACCTGAAGAAGGCTCCACGGCCGAAACGTTGTGTTCTCTTTCTTCTTTTTTTCAGCATGGAATAAACCTATTAGATATATCCATATATACATTGCTATATTATTATAATTTATGTATGTATTGAAGAAGGAGAAGGAAAATAAAAGTCCACACCCAGTTTTCCTCCTCCCCGTGGCAAGGAGACAAAGCACCACCAAGGTACGAAACACTGACTCAAGTGCTACATCAGAAAAGTTAAGCTAAAATAGGTGCTACGCACAACTGCAGCTTTGTTACTCTAACTTTTGATAACAACTCAGATGAAGCCAATTAAACTAAACATTTTTAAACTATGATAGTATATAAATGGAGATATAGTTATACCAACTACTAAGAGGAAAAAAGGGCAGCAAAAAACACAAAACTAAAAAAAAGTATATCCAAATCTAGAAATCTAAATCTAGATTCTTTTTCATTTAATTTCAGAATATACATAGTGGCATTACAATTTGTATTTAAGACTAAATGCTGTTTACACGTAAAAAACGAACTTGTGATTTCTGTTTAAGGGCATCCTAAAATTCTCTTGCTTTTTCCAAGCTTCCTGGAGAGGTTCGTTCATTTATTACTTTAATTAATTACTTTAAACAGAGGTTATTACTTTATTATTAATATTATTTGAATATTTGACATACTGTGATATATAAAATTATCAGAAATGTGAATATAACTTATGTATTGTTATACTGTTAGAGAAAATCTTCAATATGCTCAAGGGGCAATTTGTTAGAAAGGTAACTTGGGTTTTGACTGGAATCAAAACCATCAGGTGATAGTGCAGAATTGTATCACTGAATGACCAAGACGTTGCTCTGATTCATTTGATTTTCCATTACAATAGATGTACAGTAGTTAAAGAAGCATGTCAACACCTTCTCAAAATAACATAGCAAGTGACAGAGTTAAAGACACTGATGCAGAAAATGTTTATGAAGAAAGTGGAATATTGTTGTGTACCTTATTTTTAATTTTTAGCTACCACTACCTGCTGTATTTTTATTTATTCTTAAAATAATATAATCAATGATGTTGAAAGACGTAATTATACAATTCAATTCAATTTATTTTTATATAGCACCCTTCACAACAGGTTGCCCCAAGGCGCTTAACAATGCAAGTAACCATACATTTTGTGAATACAGAACAGAAGACTTCTGTTACTTTTATTTTTAGCTCCCAAAATTCCTCTGTAGTTACATCATTCCATATTATTATTCCTTTTAAATATTAGTATTTAAAGTTGTAAATACTAAAACTTTATTATTTATTATTTTTAGCTACACCTGCCAGCTATATACAATTTGTATATTTATATTAATAAATGAATGTCATTTATGATGTTCAGAGACAACAAATTTCTTTTGTTTTTATTTACAGCTACTAAAATTTCCCTTTAGTTACATAATTCCATATTAATATTCCAAAGGAATCGTTTCACTTACTGTACATCTACTGTACCACAATTGCCACTTATCAATAGTCTTTGGCCAGTGAACTACACACCATGCTATGCTATGTACCGCTATGTACCGCTAATGCAGAAATGAGGATTAATGCGCATTCTGAGTGGCTGCATCTGTATGCTGAAGAAAAACCTCAAAATGTCAAACAAGGAACCCCAATAGAAAACACTTGGTGGATTAGTCATAAACTGAAATGCTCCAACATAATGTTACTCACCATTTTTAAAATCTACATATTTGACCTACTATTTTCAGACAAATACTGAATTCTGGGCATTGAATTACCAGTTCTTATTTGTAATTTTTATAAAAATGTTTATAAAAAAAAAATTAAATGAAGATAACAAAACTGAAGCCCACAGAGCAAGAGGGTGAATTACTGACATGTGGTGCAGACTCCATTGGGGCCACAGGCAGAGGGCTGGCAGTCCAGGGTGTCACAGGCAGACCCCATCCAGTGGCCAATGCACTGGCATTCCCCATGCACACACTGGCCATGGCCACTGCAGTCCACTGGATTGCACCAGGGTTCGTGCACGCACAACACTGTGGAAACACTCCGTGGGCACCGCCACATGTTATCATAAAGGCTGAAAGAAAATGTTTATGAGCTTATATGTTAAAGCTACTGTAAAGCTTCCGTCCAAGAGATTATAGACGAGATTGGAAACACATGCATAAGACAAAAATTAACATTTTAATTCAAAGATCTTGCAAACATAAATCATTACTTGTTTTATTTCTTAATGATTTAAAATAAAAAAATGAAACCTTTGAAAATCAGGCTTCCTCAGTAGGATTAAATATTAACAAAATGAGCAAAAATAAAGAAAGCTTCAGATATAGTCTCATTTCAATACTTAAAGAAGGTTATATAGTCAAAATAAAGAAGTCTGGAATTCACTTGTGAATTTACAAACATCTCCCTGAAAAAAAAAACATTATTTCCTAATAAATGGTCAATCCTTGTAACATTAAGTAAATGTGAGTACAGTATATATCTGAAGAAAGATCTGACCAAAGACTTATGGTCTAATTCAGTGCACTTCTGGGTTTTCAAATACTGTCGCAATACTCTTTTCTTTGATCAGCTATACAAAAGGCATATGTGAAAAAGGTGACAATTTAATTTTTACATACCAGTGATCTGACGGATAGCTTGCAAGTGTTCCATTAACAACAAAGGTGGCAGAGCCTCCCCCATCAAGGTTGATGGCATTAATAACTCCACGGTCTTTCAGAAAGCTTGCCACTTCCCACAGGTTCATTCTGCAGGGAAACAGGGTCACATGTAATTACAACACAAAGCTGGGCCAGCAGCACAATATGTAGAACCAAAAAAGAAATACATCTTAATGAAAAATGTTAAATCAGAAGAGAAATATTGACACAGTAAATCAATTTAAAAAGTATGAAATTTTAAATTTCCCAAACAAATACGTTCTTCATCTATTGCATAAATGTGCTTCAGTTTAAGTACATGATGCTTGAGAGAGTGTTTTTGTGTGAATACACTGAGTAGAAAGCCTTCACTCTGTATCTATGTAAGTGGCAAGTGACAGGAGGCAGCACACAAAGGCAACAATATAAGTAGCTGCAGTTCAGTGAACCTGAGAACACTCAGCAAAGACCAAGTTTGTAGATTATCTGTACCACGTGTAAGCATGCCAACCTGGTTACGGATTCCTTAGGGCCCAAGGACTCAGATATGCAAACCTTAGAACTGGAAGATAATGCTAGTGGCAGTAACAGGTGAACAACAGACATATTGTGGTGTTTGTCTGCAGAAGAATTTATATTTTTACAATACTTAGTTCTTAAAAATGCTCTGAAACAACAGAAACTGTTTGCAACCTTTATGTAAGGTGCCCACAGACTGATTTGTTTTATCTAATAAAATGTGTCATACAGACCTCATACAGAAAGCAGTGATTGTGTTTATCTCTGTGTTAGCAGCAGGTGTGTTACTTTGCTGACATCAATATTTAAGGAGAATGTCTGTGTTACGAGAGAGAGCAGACTAGCGAGCTGGAGCTGTAGACATACCCAATAAGTAGAAAAAAAGGATAACAACAATCTTGGAGGAAACTGGAAAGAAGATGTGCATGGCATTAGGAACCCCAAAAAGGGTGGATTAAGAACAACAATTCCACAGAGAATTGGGAGTTGAAAGATTTAGTTATTTAAAGGGATGGTCTCCTTTTCAGGAGTGAGAATACAGGGCTATCTAAGAAATGTGCTGATTGAATGAATTAGTGGGCTAGAGTGCATATCTGAGAGTGAGTGTAGCAGAGCTCCCCCGGCTATAGGAGGTATCAAGAGAAGGTTTATCTAGCTGCAAACTTCTATGGTAGGTCTACCATGACAACAGTTTGAAGGTGCCATCAGTGCAGGAACTGCATTGAGTGTGTAAGAGCTCTATGGGAGCAGGACACTCCATGTGTGGTGACTAGGAGCAGCAAGGCTCCTAGTCATCAAGGTTCACGGAAAGCTCTCAAAGAGTATCAGCCTCTGTCGTTGCCTCAGAAATGATCTTGAAGGAGATCATGAAAGGAATGAGGCATGTAGGACTAGGAGACTCTTGAGCCTGAGAGTCCACAAGCTGAGGGCTCAAACAACTTGGCATATGTGCGCCTTGGGTCCTAGTTGCAACTAAATGTAACCACTGTCGGATTAAGCTGAGCTTTTCAGACACTCTCATTAGCATTATGTTCAGTGTAAACAAAATACAGCAGACAATATGCATGCCCACTGTTAACATGGGAGTCTATTAGGTTTTAATGAACTCCATCATGTACCAGAATATACCAGATTCACTTGGCTGAGAAGCTTAAGAATGGCTAAAAATAGATATTCCAGCATGACAATACAGTAATTCAATACATACCTGTACATCCAAATTGATGAAAAATGTATAACTGCACACAAAATAAATGTTCTGAATAGGCCGTGTTAATCTGCAGACCTCAGTAAAATACAAATGGAAACCAGAGTCTGAAGGACCAAGAGAAATTCTGCTTGGAGGAATGGTCAAAACTCCTTGCTCATACATGCCAGAACCTTGTAGTAAACTGTCAGTCCAATGAGAGGATGTACATATAAATATACAGGTGTACTATATGTAGATGCATGAATATGACCCTTTTATTTTCTGGACTTTATTTATTCTAAGAGCCCAGAAATCAAATGAGAGAACACCACTTCTGAAATTCATTCATCCGGTTTATTTTGATTAAAAAAATGAAGAGAGACATGGGCAACAGAACAGAACACGAAAAACAACCTGCCACTTACAGAGGTACAGAGAAGAGAGACATTCTTCTCGAAGGGGACTGCAAAACTGCCATCATTACACAACACATTTTATTAGATAAAACAAATCAGTCTGTGGGCACCTTACATAAAGGTTGCAAACAGTTTATATTGTTTCAGAGCATTTTTAAGAACTAAGTATTGTAAAAAAACATTTATAATAATAATAATTGCTTACACTTATGTAGCGCTTTTTCTGGACACTCCACTCAAAGCGCTTTACAGGTAATGGGGATCCCCTCCACCACCACCAATGTGCAGCATTTGCTTAAATGTATTCAAGATCTTCCTCAAGAACATCTCATCAGCTTTTATTAACCTGCACAAAAGTATACTTTAACCCATTACCCCTAAAAATAGTGTTAAATGACTGATCAACAATAAGCACCAATCTGTCACACCTCCACTTAGCCTTACCCTCTGGTGTTTGTCTGGCCATCAATATGGAAAAGTACAAGCCTTCCATTTTTGTCATGTCCAACTGCTGTTCTTGCAGACACCACATTTATGAATGTGTCAAATGTCCCTAGAAACATAAGTAGACTGCTGTTTTAATGAAAATCAATGCAACAGCCATATTTAAAAAAACAACAACTAAGTTTCCTTTTTCAAGATAATTGGAATTGCCAATTACCTTAAGATCAGTATACCTCACAACTCCCATAAAACACTTCTTTAATAACCCTGTTAGAAACACTTGTCAGCAGACGTAAGTATCACAATGTTTTCCAGGAACATCAGCACCAATTACAAGAGCAACGTTTCTTTCACTGACCCAGTAGGTCCAAAGAGACAAGAGATGGTAAGTCAATATCACCATAATTCAAATCCATCTGGGATTGGCAGTTCATGGCCAATTGTGCACTGTTGCTTGGGTAATCCTGGCCAAAGCCATCTTATATCAGGGCTGAGGCATAGACTGGCAACCCTGGATCCACCTGCACTGTTCATTTGCAATGTTCCCAGTCCATACAAGAAAGTTTAACAACCCATGGACTGTATGTGTGATTTTCCCACCATAGTTTCCTTGGTCAAAACCCTAGCTGCAAAAAAGAAAATGACCAATATTGTACCTGTTTCCTGTGTCTTCTCACATTCAGCAATCTTGCTCTCATTGATATAGACCTCCCCATTTCTGAGCAGCCACACCACTCCGCTCACCAACTGAACAAATGGGCTTTCTTCATTCAGCACATCATCTTCGGACAGATAGCTAGGAGATAAGAATGTTTCATAAATGTGTGCGTCAACAAAGTGGTTGTTCCAAGGTAACTTGTATTACCTTGGAATAACCACTAAAGATTTTTACTTCTGCAAATCAGTGGGTTTAAAGTCTTTCTAACGTCATACAAATGTTTTAAACTAGGAACATAACCAAACCCAAAGATTTCAAAAACATGTTGAGAAGGAAGCCAACTGGACAATTACCTAAAAAACACAGCAGGCATCAAACAAGTGGAGTCCATATTTAATAAATTGATACACTCCTTAACGTCAAAAGGTAAAATTATTCAAAATCTTGCGAAAACTGTGTGTCAAATAAGGAGTATATGGCAATGTAAAAGAAAATGTATTTTACATTAAAACTAAGAATGTCAGGCAAAGACAAATGTAATACAAAAAGGTATAGCTGATGGTATAGCTGATGAACAGGCACAACCTGAAGAGAAAAGGTAGGAATAACCTGTAAAGAAGAGGAGGCCATTCTGCCCATCTAATTCATTCAGCAGCTAGTCACCATTGATCTTAGGATCTCATCCAGCCATTTATTGAAGGAAACCTAGGTATTACTTTGACAATATTACTGAGTATTTTGTTTGATACTCCTTTTGTGTAAAAAGTGCCTCAAATTCTCACTTTTAAATACACTTCCACATATTTTCCATTTCTATTCTCAAATTGATGTTTCACCATAGATTCTGATGAAGTCTAAAGGGATTGGCCTCATAAATGCCTTTGAGGAATATGGATACTTTATCAGGTGTCTTAGTACTCTTCTCTGTTCCAAACAAAAATGGAGTTGATGAGTGAAAGATATTTTTAGAGTCCAGGAATATGGACTTTTATAATGGGGGCTGTAGCTGTGCTCAGAGTTAACCAATCACATTCAAAATCATGTCTAAAGGTAAGTAGAATACACCCACTATCAATGAAATGATTCTGATTACCCCCAAATAAAAATCAGTTGTTCCTGTAGGATTTCCTTGAAACTTTCATGGTTGCATCATACTGGGATAGCCATGGTCCGTAAGGAGCTGACAAAACATCTACGGGATCTTATTGTTGAAAGGTACCAATCAGGAGAGGGGTATAAAAGAATATCAAAGGCATTAGATGTACCATGGAGCACTGCAAAAACTATCATCAATAAGTGGGGAAAATGTGGCACCGCAGGGACACTGCCAAGATCAGGACAAATCTCCAAAGTTGATGACAGGACAAGGAGAAAACGTATCAGGGAGGCTACCAAGAGGCCTACAGCAACATTAAAGGAGCTGCAGGTATTTCTGGCGGGTACTGGTCACTCCTTGCATGTGACAACAATCTCCCGTATTCTGCACATGTCTGGGCTATTGGGTAAGGTGGCAAGACGGAAGCCATTTCTCACAAAAAAGAACATCCCAGCCCGTCTAAATTTTTCAAAAAAATACATTCAATCACCCCAAACCATGTGGGAAAATGTCTTATGGTCTGATGAGAGAAAGGCTGAACGTTTTGGTCTTAATTCTAAAATGTATGTTTGGCGCAAAGACAACACAGCTCATCATCCAAAGAACACCATACCTACTGTAAAGCATGGTGCTGGCAGCATCATGCTTTGGGGCTGCTTCTCTTCAGCTGTGACGGGGGGGGGGTTGCCCCTTTTTGGACCCGGGTTTTTTTGGTTTTTTTTATTTTCATTTTTTTTTCTTATTATTTTTTTTTTTTTTTTCCTCTTGAATTTTGTTGGTTGCAAGGTCACATTAAAGATGAACAAATGTCTGACATGATTTATCTTGATTTTTGGCTTTACATCACAAAAGCCTGCAATTTCAATCAGGGTGTGTAGACTTTTTATATCCACTGTACAGTATGTAAACACTTTTTACAGGTAGATTTTTCCATGTCCATTTTTTCCCATAATTCTTATACTGTGAAAAGCATACGTATTTGGAGAATGCAGTGACATTAGTCATTTTTGCTGTGTACTATTGAAATCTGTATTTCACATCAAAAGATAAATATTGTACATAACTTGTGCACGTAGCAGTTCTGGCAGAGTAAGGACAAAGCAGACATGATTCTTTTCTTACCCAAAAACTAAAGTTCCATCTTTCTTGATCCCAAACTGAGCATTCTGTATCCCTTTGCTGTTTCGCACAACATTACCATTGCTCACCACATTGCCAAGGCACTGTCCAGTTTTTGTGTTGAAGTAACCACCATTCTGAGCAACCAAGCACTTTTGTGAGTTGGCGGTTTCTTCTACCGTGGCTGTGCGTTCCTGCTGGCAACCTCCTGGCCCTCCTGGTTCCAGAACCGACAACATCCTTAGTGGGTCGCTGATAAAGGTCAAGTGGCCGGAGACCCACTTGTCATTTCCCGCCCCAGTGAAGAAATGTGACACAAATGTGTTGGTTTCTGCTGCACTCAAGCCTTTGGTTTTAGCGCTCCTCCATGTTTCAAAAGTCACATTTCCATGCTGGACAGGCTGACAGTCTCTAACAAACCTGTGGTGGTGAGTAGGCCCGTGTGCTTGTAGGGGGGGGTATGGCAACAGAAGATCATCGTTTAATGAATTTCTGTCAAAAGAAAAGCCAGAATGACTGCAACCAGAAGTCAACAGTGCAAAATGAAACAAGTACAACACCGCAATTACCAAAATATAATCTCATAATCAGAACTGCTGTATTCAATGTATTTAAAAAAAGAAACATTAGTACATAATAGTGGAGTTAGACACCTTCCCTACTGCTGATGCCTATTTTAATTTTTAATTCACACATTTTACTCAAATATGTCTTAATCAGCATTGTTGAACTGAAATCAAGAAAGATATTTGGCACATTTCATAGAGTTATATAAAATTATACCTTTTTGATACCAATAATGTGCTTCCTTTCTTTTAGTCAAGAAAACAAATGGCTCAGCCTAGTGACAAGGAACAATCTGCTTCACGAGAAGCTTTCAAGGTCCTAGTCAAGGTAGATTTGATTTTTCAACTTTAAACAAAAAGCCTACAAAGTAATACCATGTTGGGAATGTATGGATCTAGATCCTCATGCAGTATTATGATGGAAAGTTATGGTTTTCTGTAGCATTTTACCTTGATGAAACACTCCTAGTAAAACCATGATACCTTCTCTCTAAAAACACAAACTTCACAAACAGCAAGGCTTTACAGTAGCTTTTAACATCCCATTAATTAACTGTAATTAGGAGAAATAAGAATATTTTTCTAAGACTAACAGATTGAATCAAGTGATCCTCTTGAGTTCTGAACAAAGATTATACGGAAAATAAGTTTCAGATATTGAAAACCCAAATTAACTGCTTCAGATTTACTGTATGCACAAAGCAGAAAACTACAGACAGATGCAAGATATTAAGAAGAAGCAAATTTAGGGATGAAAATAGGAAACACTTCTTTACACAAAGATTCTTTTGTGTCTTGAACAAACTACTCAGAATAACCAGGATCTTTCAAAAAATGTCAGGACAAGACTCTTGGCCCAGTTATCTGTAAACTGTCAAATGAGCAGAATGTGCTAAATGGAGTCCTCTTGTCAGTGACCTGTCTTAATACTGATACTCCACGAAGTTGTGGCTTTTCACCATCTGTTATGATTGACCAGACCATCAATAAACAAATCTTATGGGAAGATTGAAAAAAATATGGAAATGCAGCATGCTAGCTTTACAGAAAATCTTACAGCAGAATCTGGTATTGCAAAAATCATGTTTTCCATAGTTTATGTTCTGATTACAAACCATTTTTCAAGTTGGAATGGTCTTTGTCCTTATAGAGATAACATGAGGGAGATAACCACATATAATGAAAAAAAAACAGACAAATACTAATTTTACACATGGAAGAGATCACTTAGTTCATTTGTGAATAAGTTAATTAAATCACTAATTGCTATTCACCAGATAACATTTTATTGCGATCGATTAAGCAGGTACAATTAAGTAATTTAATTAAACTTTAAATTAATTTAGAGATCTTAAAGGAACTAGTGATACTGATAAATATAAATTGTTTCATATTTATATTAAAAGATCAAATATTTTAATAGGATGATGAATATTAACACTGCACTCAAGTGGTTAGTATTACCTAAGTCATGAAGTCATGAACAAATATACTGTATACAGTGACTCCACCATCTGTTCACAAAATAAGTTCTTACAGAACTCTTTATTTGGGATTCTGTATTCTGATTTTTGTGACTCACTGAAACTTTTTGTCTTAATTAAGCCAAGCTCTGAATGAATACATTGTTTTTCATGTTTCTGCTTGGTGACCATTTAAACTTGCTAAAAAAAGACAGAAATATAGAAAGCTACAGATTTTTTTATTCAACGTTGGTAGTAATAATAATAATAATTGCTTACACTTATATAGCGCTTTTCTGGACACTCCACTCAGAGCACTTTACAGGTAATGGGGACTCCCCTCCACCACCACCAATGTGCAGCATCCACCTGGATGATGCAACGACAGCCATAGTGAGCCAGAACGCTCACCACACATCAGCTATTAGTGGGGAGGAGAGCAGAGTAATGAAGCCAATTCATAGGGATTATTAGGAGGCCATGATTGGTAAGGGCCAATGGGAAATTTGGCCAGGACGCCGGGGTTACACCCCTACTATTTTCAAGAAACACCCCGGGATTTTTAATGACCACAGAGAGTCAAGACCTCTGTTTTACTTCTCATCCGAAGGACAGTGCCTGTTTAAAGTATAGTGTCCCTGTCACTATACTGGGGCATTAGAACCCACACAGACCACAGGGTGAGCACCCCCTGCTGGCCCCACTAACACCTCTTACACCCACTAACACCGTAGCAGGATACTGATGTGCAAGAGAGGCCGAAGGCTGTTTCCTTAAGCCAGCACTATAAAATAATTTATCCTCAGTGAGATGCTGCCATCTCATAGTGGGTTTATAACACTATATACAGTAGTTCCATCCACACAGTGCCTTTACTTCCATCCATTTTCTAATCTCTTTATCCAGTACAGAGGATTTGGATCCTATCCCAGCAAGCAACGAATGCAAGGCAGAATACACCCTGGACATAGCGCCGGTCCATCACAGGACAAACAGACACAAACACACACACACCAGGGCCAGTTTTCCTGTAAGCCAATCAACCTACTGTACCGGTATGTTTTGGAGTGTGAGAGGAAATCATATCACACATATGGAGAAAACCCATGGAACCCAGAGAGAACATGCAAACTCCACACACACAGGATGGCAGGAATTGAACCTAGGGCCCCAGTGCTGCAAGATAGCAATGCTAACCACTTCGCCACCATTAGAAATGGATGGATAGCTTAGTTATCTCTCTAGTTCATTGGTTTGCATGCATAATTTAATTTGGAAAGCCACTGAGACATCTGGTACTACTGTTGTATTTATGAAAAAAAAAACCATACAAAAAGCATACTAACAACTGTGCCATCCTATTCCTTAGTTAATACATTTTATTTTTATAAACAGTTAACATTATTAGCAAAATATTTTGAATTATATTTTACCCTATTTTTTCTTTAATTTTGTATTTAACTTATTTTCTGATGGTCAGATTTAATGTATATTTGAACAATGGAAATATATTTTTGCAAGATGCGGGGAAAAGTGCAACAATTTATTACAGTGCTAAATTTAATATTGATTACTAATAGTATATTCCAACACCTAACTTTCTTAGATATGTTTAAAACAATGCACTAAGTGTGACATAATATTCAGAAATACAATCGAGAATAGTTGTGTGGTGTTTTTATAGATGAAACTTTTCTCAAATGTAAAAAACAAATTAAAGTCAACTAAATCTGTAATCTTTCCACGTGTAATATAATTAGAAAGTACCCGCTTTGTCTAACGATGGTATCAAAAAGTAGTCTAAGTGGTGAAAAACCTGTGCTTAATGATAATTAAGGGACCGCTCTGTAGAACGGGCATTGTGCAATACTGAGCTCCGCGCCTCCTCTCTCTCTCGGTGCCGCCTGCCCCTCTGACGGAGCGCAGTGGGCGGTACGCTATTTTCAGAGCCTCTGATTGGGGAAAAAAAGACCTGCTGATCTGTCCTACATACCAGGAAGAGAACAGAATATTGTTTCTGTTCGAAACGTGTGTTGTCCTTATGAAATTCGTGTATTTTAAACGTTTAATTAAGAAGTAAAAAACTTACAGCGTACATAACTAAAATAAAGTATTGAGTCTATATTTTTTTCAATTGCCAGACTGGTTGTAGTGACTGCAACAGATGAAAGATCAAGGTTCAGGTTTTACATTATAAGAACATTATACGAGACGGAAGGAATGAATTTCTATCATGTTTGCAATATTGACACATACGGACAACGAAGAGAGCTGGAATGTTTTGTAAGCGTCGATTCCATCCTAGTTTCTTTTTCATTTTAGTGTGTATGGCTGTCTGTGGTTTGACGTTGCAAAGCTGATGTTAACCTCAGCTACTGTATATTTACTAAACCAAACTCATCAAAATTACAAAAGTTTTTAGGTCAAAGCCATGAATTATATATATGTGTACAAAACGTACAGAACTGGGATATACTGTAGGGGGTGTTTTATACTAAAATGCAATGAGAACTACGTAATGGCTTTAAGTGTCTCGGGAACATTCTATTTGACTTTAGGTCCTTCATGAAATTCTTAGTGACTAAATACCAGAAAAGAAAATCCGTTGAAAAAATAACCGATTCAATTAAATAGTTAGCAGTTGGTACTAACACAACCAGTTATCAGTACTCAGGATTGATTAATATGGAAGTGTAGTTATTGGGTCCGTCGTGAAATAAATTGTGAAAGAAAATATGTAAAATGTCCACGAGCAAATATTAGATCAACCAAGTGGTAGGGAATTGTTAAAAACGCAGGGTTCTGCGGATTCCGAGAACAGCAACAAAATACGGTAAAACCGTGCTCTTTCAGTATGCTACTTACTGAACTGAAGATCTAAAGACGGGTGTCAAATATAATCATCATGACCACCTCTCACATACAGCAAACATGCTATGATTGCCTTCGAGATCAGCTGCATACTGCACTATTATATCGATCACTAAATTTACATTATTGCTGAGACCTTTCTAGCTTTCTAAATATATTTTACATTCTATAATTACATGGGCTACATTTAAGAACTACATGTAGTCAACAACGGGAATAAAGAAAGGTTACATTTTTATTGAAAACACAAGTACTATATTTGTAGTATTCGTTTAACTGTATTATACACACTGATACAGAGGAGTTATCGCTGCCACAGAAAATGAAACTAATCGGTGTTGTTGATACTTTATACAGAATACTTTATAATTGCAGACCATATATTTTATAAGTGTCCGTTTTAGAAAATATTTTTTCCAAAATGGGTACAAAAGTTACCAGTTATTTTTTGTTTTCGCTCTAAAAAAGTTTGACAGATCACAGACTTACCTAGGATTTGCTCCTTCAGACCAACGCACAACATTAAATAAAAACAGCACTATAAATCTATCATTAACTATATATTTGGCCATTAGAAAACCAGCTGTAATACTGAAAACCTGTTCCGGTCTCGTGATAGCTGATCAATTCAATTCCCCCAGGAAATGTTTGACATGCATAATATGCGCATGTGCGATGAATCACCAACAGCTGGACTACCATGAAAGCGCGTTCACATGAATTCTGCAGCTCTAGACATGAGCGCGCAATATCTGAACGCTCTTGGATAAAATCTGATCTATGTACAGTATAGTATATTGCACATTCTTAGCATCAGAAGAAACTTTCAGTGATTCTCAGACCTGGTCTTATTAGACCGATGTATTTCCTGTTTTCTTGTTCCACCCAAATTCTTAGTTGCTCGCATAATAATTTAAATTGTCTGTTTTAGGATTGCTTTTACATTTTCTTCCAGCCCTTAAATGTTGCATGTGGTTTGGAATCGGTATTGTGGCCAATCGGCCCATCCTGGGACGAGGGTTTCGACAGAGGATGAGTTGATTTTTTAAGAACTTTATTTCATTTTCACAAATAAATACAGAATGACACAAAAAGTAAAACTTTACAGCATTATATACTGTATACCTAAAACAGTATACAGTATATGCACACGCCAGGAGGAGATTACAAAGCCAACAGACATACATTTGCTCAGGTGCATTAGCTCACATGTCATTTTGAATCACTTCCAAACGCCAAATGCTTCCAAGTACTAAAAACAGGAGTGCCAATAATCGTGTTTCTTTTATTTTGGGGAAAATAATTTATAATGTAACATTTTTTATCTTTTTTATCCACTGTATTCCTCCAGTTGCATCCCAGAATGCTGGAGCGGGTGCATATCAAATCCTGCCATAACGATGTGGTGAAACATACCACTTTAAAGCCTGTAGCATCTATACAAAAAGTAGGCAGCTGCGTCAGGTAAAGCTTTATTCTGTGCTGGAAAGAAAAAAGACACCATGTTACAGCTGTGGAGTCTTCTTCAGGTGTGAGGGAAAGAAACTGGCAGCTGATAAATCATGGTAGACAGTAGTAGAATGATTTGTACAAGTCCATTGACATATTTGCCCATTGTATCTTAGCTTTTTAATGTAAGTTCTGAGATTCAAAGTGCAGTTAGTTCATTGGTATAAAGTAATGTACTGGCTTGAAACTTCTGCTTTAGTTTTCTATTTCATTTGGGTTGAAGGGCTTGAACCAATACAACTTCAATTGAAAAAAGATCATTATATAAATCGGAAGGTAAGACATTTTGCCTATCACTTGTCTGTCTTTCTTGGTTTCTGAATGATCTTGTCTGCTAAAATGTCACGAGAATACCCTACTTGCTCTCTGTAAACAACCTGAGAGGACAGACTTTGTGGGGTTTCAAAAGTAAAAAGGAAAGTCATTCTACAAGATGTATGACCACAGTATATGTGTTTTTCCAAATAGAGGTTTCTAGAAGACTTTTTACTACAGTTGCCAAACCTGTACTACTTGAACTTTCAGACACAAATATGGGTTCATCTTACTTTTTGCAGCAAAAGCAAAAACATGTTCATGTATGTTTGTCATGAAGTACCTTCCATTGTGATGCTGCACTAAAGTAAGACACTATTTCTAAGAAAGGAAAGAATGTGATTGTGTTTCCAATAGATCCTTGAAAAAGTGTAGTTTTACTTTGTCTGATATAATTCTCTGTTTCCTGGCTTACTATTATTAACTTTTAAGTGTTTCAATTTTAGTGGTGGTGTTCTCAAAACAGCAATTTGTGTATTTTTCAATGCACAATTGATACAAATATACAATTGACACAAAAGTCTGCCTCACTACTGCAAGCATCCTTATAGTGTGTTTCAAATCAATGGGAATAACATCAGAGACAATTTCCTTGGGTAAGGCAACATATGCTATATTACATTCTACTTCTATATCACTGAATTACAATATCCCCATACTGGGAAAGACTGTGAGACTATTTGAGACTTTTCCCTGTCCAGCACTGCACAGTCCCAGTCTGGGAATAGGAAGTGGTCTATAAACCCCAGCAACACTGCCGAAGACAGTTATCTGACAAAAAGTTGGTGATTTTCTATTACCTGATGGTCTGTAGAATAGATCTGAGCTACTTTTGGAGAGGTAAAACATTTTTTGTTTGGTCAGGAATGAGACCATCACTGCAGAGCACTGTGTCAATTTGCAAAGATGAAGTCATATAAAAACAACATAAAGATTACAAGGATGCAAAAGTGAATGAAGAACGGTAATTTCCTATTACCTGTGGGTCTCATTATCATGTTCCACCCAGTTTTGAGGATGCACAAATTGTTGTTGCGCTATAAATGTGACTTTACCTTGTCCAGGTTTTTCTTCCTGAAGCAGGGTTTGGGGGGGGGGGGTATTTTGAAAGGTGCTGCCAAGCTAGAGTCGCATTATGTAGCTCTAGTATCACGCTACTTCTCAAAGTGACTTTTCGGGTTCCATTGGACGTCCGCAGGGGTTCCGTGAGCTCTTACTGTACATAGTCTACAGGAAAATACAAAATTGCTATCAATAAAAAAAGTGTTACGATGGCTTTGGATGGCTCAAAAAATTAAAAAAGGTAGGCTTATCTTCTGAAAAGTCATCTTCAAATTAACTCTGAATAAATTTCTGTACCTGTGCTTTTGCTGCTAGAGCCAGAAGGTACCTCAAAGGATCGGATGAAATTTCCTCTTCCATCTGTTCTTCTATCTTGTTTGGAGTAAAACATGTTTGCCATTTTGCCATCTGGCAAATCTCAAAAACTCTCGCAATGAGAGAAAATACCGTGTTACGAGGAAGGTAGAAAGATCACTTAGAAATTACTGCAACCACGAGAGAAAAAAAAAAAAGAAAAAAAGTGAAAAACAATAAAAAACTTCAAGACTTCACGTCACAAGAATATGAGAAGTTCATTGACCTGATTTCAGACTCTTCCTTACAAACGGCTTTTAATGAAGTGCAGTTGACAGAGTTTTGGTCCAGGAAAAATGAATATGCATATCAAAGAAAGGTCTTTGTGTTCTTCTCCCGTTTGTGACCACCTATCTGTGTGAAACCGGATTTTCATCGTATGTGTCCACAAAAACGCAGTATCGCAACAGATTGGATGCAGAGTCGAACATGACACTGCAACTCACATCCATAACTCCAAATATTAAAAAAATGTAGAAGAGGCAAACTCGCTCATCACACTGAGATTGTTCATTATCAGTACTCTTTTTAAAAAACATTATACAGTATATTGTTGTCTCAATGTGTTTCACTTAGTCATTTTGCTACCAACATTTCCTATTTGCGCCCGGTTAGACCACATAAAGTGTCATCTGGTTCTATAAATCTATTAGTTTTTTTTCCTTTGTTAACAATGTAAAAAATTAAAAGTTTTCAAACCGGAAGGAAACCCTTCTGGTTTTCTTCTAACTTGGTCGAACAGGTGGTTAGAACTTTGATTCTTTTATTCTCAACGAGTATTTCAGTGATTAAGCTTTATTTAACTTTATGGGGTGCTAATCGTAGACAAGTTATCATGTGATTAAATCCATCACCTTTCCTGGTGAGGGACACGGTGAAGCTGGAGCCTACCTGGCAAGCAACGAGTGCAAGGCAGGGTACACCCTGCACAGGGCGCCACTCCATCGCAGGGCAAGTGCAAGACAATCATACACAGGGGGGCAATTTGGAGGCCACAGTAAGGGCTGATGGGGGGGGAGTTTGGCCCTGGCACACCTCCCTACTATTCTCAAGAAATGTCTGGGGATCTTTAATGACACTGAGAGTCAGGACATTCGTTTAATGTTTCATCCGAAAGACAGTGCCCACTACAGTATAGTGTCCCCATCAGCATGCTGGGGCATTAGGACCCAAACAGACCACTGGTCCCACTAACACCTCTTCCAGCAGCAACCACAGGTTTTCTCAGGAGGTCTGTCAACCAGGTACTGACCAGGCTCAGCCCTGCTTAGCTTCAGTGGGTTTCCAGTTGTGAGTTGCAGGGTGATATGGCTGCTAGCCTCATGTGATTAATAAATGATGGAAATAAACTCAATGGGTTCATACAATGCTTACACTTAGAACAAAAGCAATCGATAGTTTCTTCCTTAATAATTGGCTAAAATGCCTCTGAAAAGCAGTCCTAGAATGCCTTTTGCAGAACAGCACCATAGCTAATCCTGAAAAGTAAGAAAAAAAGGTTGCTGGGTATCTGTGACATTATCTTCGACAGAAAAGGGTTCCGTCATCAAAAAAGTTTGAGAACTACTGCTTTACCCTCTATACCCACCTCTCCATGGACATGGTTAGTAGGGTTAAGTAGTAAACTTCGTGATGTAGCACAAGTGTGGACACATTCAGTAGCTTTTTTTAAAGAATTGTATATTCTTCGCTTGCAGTTTGAGGAAATTGAATGTTATCTCGTCTGTCCCTGCACAAAAGTAGTGACATACCGTGTTCATTCATGTTGAGCAGGCTGGACTCAAAACAGGCGAAGTAAACTAAGGAAAACTCAGCAATAATGTTGTTTGTTCAAAGTTTAAATACATTTCTCATCTCATCTGTCCCAATACAAAGATAACACTACAAGGAACATAACATGTTCATTCATGTTAAACAACTTTTGGACAAAGCAAACTAAATAATAAGGTAACCATGTCAGTACCTCAAAATTTTCTACTGTTACTTTGTCTTTCAGTGTAGAAAATACACCACAGGTAAACAAATATTTATAAGTCGAAAAGGGGTAACAAAATTATGGCTTTATGTCAACACTTCATAGCTAGAATGCATATGAATCTAACCTGTGTGCAATTAAAGTGGCTAACCATTTCTAAATCATACTACTTGATGTTACCAAGTTCTTGCTAACAAAAAGTCTGCTTGTCTGCATGTCTGAATAATGGGGGATTTGTTATTCCTTGTGGCTCCATGAGGGCTACAAGAACTGTGAACCATTCTCTCAAGGAGACATAAGAGTTGCATAGACACAGTCATAAAACCATTTGGCCATGAACAAAGTAGGCCTGGTGATTCTCAAGTCAAGAGAAGAGAACACCAAACACAAGTCCATAAATTTGGGGCCACTACTTA